TCGTGAACAAAGAATAGTAACACCTCGCGTTTGCTCAACAAAAATACGAAGAAAATCACTTGATCAATGCCGAGGTTAATGGAAAGTCGGTCGTGGGATTTAATGAATGAAATAAAAGTTCGTTTAATTAGTCATTCGTCTCCTATCTGAAAGAAGCTTTTGTCTGCTATCCGTGCTATATATTTAACTACAAATTCACTCGTTTTCATTGTTAGAGTATTTAGCCTTTTCGTTTTCTTCGTTGTTTCATTAAATAATAACAGTATTTTAGTTTTTTCTCTTTTAGGACACTGGTTTATTCCAGGCCCTGCTGTAAAACTACTAGCTCGAAACTACGAAATAGGGCTTAAAAAGGCTTTTATAACTTTTCTTCATATGTTTTTTTTCTCGAAAATCATTCAATTTGTAGCAGGAAAGCTACATCCATCATCGAAACGAAACGGCCATATTTCACCTGCCGAGCTGACGATTGATGAATTTGAAGATGTGAATCTGGGTAATTTTCAGGGATTATTTATTTTACTCCTATTCGAATTTAGTCCTTATCGAATCCTTATCATCGTCCCATATGTTTGTTATAATACTTTTACTCGCCTATTTACTTGTATATTGAGATGCCTCGTCTTCACAAATTGTGCGAACCCTAGGACTTACTGCATTCGTGTGCTTCTCTCCGTCGTCCACGAAGGTGGTCTGCTTCGAGCATGGTGGCTGGTGCGAGTCTCATATCGCAGTAAAACAATTGCAGCTGTGAGCACGCCAGTTTTTTTGGTTATAAACAGTTCCTCCCAACGTGTAGGTGCTCGGCCCAGGTGAAGCGGACATACTCATGGAGTCCACGCTACAGTACTTTCGTTTAACCGTTGTCTGTTCCTCTCGTTTTATAACCGGCTAACCATGTTTCGCAATCGATATGTGTTCGCCTGGGTCTTGAAGATGAAATGGATTTCGAAGATCAGAGCTTCGAAAGCAGGTTAGAGGTTCTGGGTGCTGGTCATACTTCAGAAGACTTCGTTCAAGCGCGCTGTGAGTAGTGCGCAGTACTGCTGACGTGGTTCAAGTATCGGCCCACCTCTCTGCAGCGTAACATAGTGCTGGGAGGGCCGTTGAAACGAAAAGGCGAGCGCGGATTCCCGGCTCTTTAAGTTGTTTGGTAGCTTCTCTGACAGGCCGAAATGCTGCCCATGCTGCTCTCCTTCTTCCTAATTCCTTGTTCATATCGTTTTCCATGTTCATTGAACCCGTGAGGTACATGCACTACACGCTCTCTATAGTCAGAGAGCCATCGAGTTTGATCTGTTCATCTTCACGAAATGAATGTTTCATGAACAGGGTCTTCTTTCCATTTATAAAATTATTATATAAGAAATATTACTCTAACTGATAAACCATCGATTTATTCCGCTTCCCCAAATCCATTTGATTCGGACAGCGTGTAGAAGTTATGTTTGTTGAGTAAGTCTGCGACAGTACGTTGTTTTTGCAAAGAGCTAGGTACAGGAATGATAATTTTCTTCTGAGTCACTTTATAAAAAATATTTGAAGTGTGCCGTGCATTCGGCTTCGCTAGGCATCGTTGGAGGTGATTGAATGCATATCTGGTCTTCACAATGATTTGCGGTGGCCTACCGATATATCGAGCCAGTGCAGCTATCTTCCCAGACAAGTCTGGTACTAATTTGCCGATTCCGGAGGGATGCAAGGCTTGGTGGGCCAAGGGCGCGGGAATCGATCCCGTGTATATTGCAGGGTGTCTCCGATCACTGCACCACCCGCACCCAGAAAAGCATATGGGTTCTAAAACTGCCTATTTCTTTGCTATTACACGTGGATCATTAAAAAATATTGATAATAGTTGTCTATTTGGCCATGAAGGATTTGTGTATTGGTTTCAAGTATTTTTTTTATCAGCAAAAGAGTTCTTAATTATTTCAGAAACCTGGACTGGCCATTTGCAGAGGGCAGTTTTACGTCCTCATTTCCTTCTCTGTTCAACTTTCTGTTTTTCTTTCTATACCACGATCGTCGTCTGCACCTTAAGCGTTACAAAATCCTCCCTCAACATATGAGACATATTGCGAAGATACATAAGACATTTGAAATCTGACTGAATGAGATTCTTTCCCGTCCGGTACCCTCGTCTGAATTGGCTCCCTCTTATCATGATATATTCCTATCTCCTCTTACCGACAGCGGTTTTAACCATCAAGGACAAATCACATCTGACATGACATTGGTCATTTCTTCTGTCGAAAAATTTCTTTACAAAGGGCGTAGAACAGCTACTCGCACGTCTGCAAGTTTTTTTTTCATGTAGATTCGACCGACAGAATCTGATCAGTGGACTCGGAAGTACATGGTGTTTGCGAGTGATCGTTAGCAAACGACTTTCCCGTTTACACTAGAAGGAATTAGATTTCAGTCTTCTTGCCATAAAACGAGCGTAAGCCCGTCTTTAGGCGCTCCTCGATCAAATGGTACTGCTATCCTACTTTGCAACCCTAACACACAACAAGACATATTCATTTATGAAAATTTCCTATCAAACCTTTGGGTTCACTTTTTTGGAGCAGGGATAGAGCTTGAAAAGGATCGCAATATTTACTCTTTTCTGCTACTGCGCTAGAGAAAAAAAATGACGGTTAATGGTTTTCCTATGGACCATGTGCTACATGTAATTAGGGTATTGAGTGGACATGGTCAATGAATTGAGAGATCTACAGAACAGAAAACGGAGAACAATGAGTCGTATTTGTGCCTTAAAAAGCCTTCGATGGAGAGAAAGCCCGGTGCTTATCAGTTCGACTGCAAAATCGCTGAGACGTGGGCTAAAACGTCGACCGGTTCTGAACATCTGTAAGAAGCTCGAAAGTCAGAGACAAATGAGCGAGAGAAGGACGGGACTGATTTCAGGATGAGAGAAGCGTCCTCAGAAGAAATGTCATGCAATGTTGGTGTACAACTGCGTAGCTTACACCAATAATTGTCACAAATTAAATGTATCAAAGACAATTTTTTAGTTGCAGAAGAGTGCTTTCTGAGGTCACTTCGGTGTCAACTTACACTTTAGAGGTTGATCATTCCTTTGATTTGATTCGTAGCATCGTCGAGATGATTGAATACATTTTAGACTGTACAATCACTTTTGCTAATCTACGAATGTGTTCAAGTGTTTTTGTTGCTGACAGAAAAGTCAGGTATCAATTTGTCCGATTCCGAAGGATCTGATTTGCTCTCACCCAGGATCGAGCCATCTGACCCTTGTGCGAATTACATGGCATTTATAGCTAATGCATTACGCGCTCCTCTACTTTAACTTTATTATTGTCTCTTACTCTCCATTGAAGGAAATCCGGAGACCATGAAGAAGATTGGTAATATCCAGTCATTTGAATGGGAAAACCTTTGCAAAAAAGGCATGAGTAAATTTTAGCGAGAGTTTCACCTTACCACGTTATTCGCACCATAAGGCCATAAGGCTCAGTTCAGAATTCTATGAGGAAGCCTGGCCGAAGGTCATATAAAGGGACGCAGCTGGCTAGTGTTTTCATGCATCCAGAACAGAGTTGAACGAAGAGGAAACATATAGGCAGATCCTATCGATGTGCTCCTTGTTGCTTCAAATGAGACTGACTTCTACTTGTTGTATACTATTTCCTTGGATACTTGGGCGGTCCGTCCTCTCGAGTTGTGTGGACCCCAGTACACTTGCTATTCATTTATTTCTCTCGCAGTCGCTGTCCATATTGGTGGTTTTATCAGCTGCGAGTACAGTCGATTAATTTCGGTTACGTACACGTCCTCCCATCGTGTATGTGTTTGTCCTAGGGGACGCATGGCTTCTCGTAGAGTCGACTGTACAGTTCTTTTCGTACGTCTGTGGCCTGTTCTTCTCATTATGTGACCGGCCCACTTGTCGTATAAAGTAATATTATTCGAGCATATGCATGGTTTTGCTTCTATGAGGATTATATTTTTCTGCCATAAACTTGCTATTAGATGATTGGAGAGTGAGTGGTAGACGATTCTGGCTCGTATCCAATAGATAAACCTTTCATCTTCATGGAGAAAGCTCAATAAGCTACTTGTCGGCATATTCGTTTCCCATAGTAGAGACTAACGAGCCACCTTTCATAGCGCTTTCGCTGAAAATAGTTAAACTTAAGGGTCTCGTGAGAAAACGGAGATGCTCTTCTTGCTTTTCGAATAGGGGGAACGGCTATAACAGTCTTGAAGTGCGGCAGAATAAACAGAGATTTTATTACTGTAGGCTTGAGTCGCTCTAGGAGTACAGGTGATAAAAATTGATGCAAAAGGCACAGTTGTATAGTGGGCCGAAGATATAGTGTAATGAAGCAATGAACTTTCAAATCATATTCAGCTTACTGCAGAACTTTTTGTGAAGTTAATAACTGAGACAAGGTGAATTGAAATTGACAAACGATGTTTTTAGAACAACCGACAGTCGATCGATCGCAACCTAGGACTTTGGTCGGAAAAGCGACAAACGACAACATAATCATGAACGACATCATGATGGATGAAATTATTGGAGAAGACAAGGCGGAAGATGTCGACACCGTCATCGAGGTCGTTACGCTCAGATTAGTCGATCCTAACAGATATTCTGTTCAATGAATTCATTCACGGGTTTGATCAATGGATTGTTCTGTTCAGTAAATCATCCACTTTCTTTCAATGAGACTAGCTTTCCTACTTCTACCATTAAATTTCTTCTTTCCGTTATTCCGTTCTGATTTGATCCTAGATCAAGCAATTAGTTTTGCTAGAGGTTCAAAGTGATATAAAATCTTCAGGTTATCCCAATAATCCTTGGGTGTCTGGTCAATTTTTTTACGGGCACACAAAGGCTATTCAGAGCTATCTGTTTACCACAACAACGAAAATACCACCTGACCCGCTACTGTATTACTAGAAAAACCCGTAAGCCAGCAGAAAATACGTTTTGCCAACAACACGTTTAAAAGATGATTAAGAATTTTATACAAATGTTCCCCATTTGATTGGTTATAGATAAATTCACTTACTTTGTTGACACTAGGTTCATAATCTCATAGGAATTTCAATAATTAGCCCAAGCATTTCGATGAAGAACAAGCGATAAGACGCTTCGCGTTAATCACCCTGTAACGATGCTCTATGCATTGGGTTCCGTACGTAGCATCGTAGAGGTGATCAAATGCACATTTATGTAATATAATGACTTCCGAGGACTCGCCTTTGTTTGTTATTTTATCTCGCCAGACAAATCTGGTGCTGATTTACCGACCTTGGAGAGATCATGAACTCGGTGAGATCCAGAGGAGGGTGCGAAATGTCTACCATGCTTATATTCCAGTGCACTTTATGCCGCTGCACTGCGTGTGCTGCCTAGTACTGCTATATTAAAGAAGATAGTTTCAACTGTTTTAATAGTTCAAAGGTGTCTAGGCAATCAAGTTTTTACTGTTTTCTTGATGAAGAGATGCGGAGACGTTGTAATACTGTTTATTCACAATAGTTGTTCTTTCAGCAGTTTCACCTTCTTCACAACCTGGAAATGTCAAACTGACACGCAATCGACTCAGTCAAACACTTTCATTAGGCCCTGAAGAAGGCGAAACCGCCGAAATGTTGACTATTGTGAATAAATAGTGTAACAACAACTTCGTGTCTCCTCAGCAAAAAACACTGCATTATTGTTCGATGCCGAGTTCACTGTAAAGCCGGTCCTGGGATTTGCTACACCAAGTCTTCAATTTGTTTGTACACCAATTATATCTTTTAAGAAATCTCATAAAATTATAAATGCGACCTTTTATTTCTCAGCAAGCGCGAAGTTGTTATACAGCCGATTGTCTCTTAAGATTTATCATGATTCTTCCACTGTTCTGAAGGAACCTCGTAAAAGAGTTGGAAGTCAAATTTCTCATACTTTTGGTCGTCTGTTCCGTTTAAAAGCATTCCTTGCTTGTTTTGTTCCACTTTAGGCTGATCTTGAAATCTGGAAATAAGAAGAATAACAATCATCTAACAAACTCTACTAAGCTTGAAATATGCGGTGATTATTTACAATTTCAAAAGCAGAAATAGCAGATTCTAGAGAATAATAATGGAAGATTTTTCGAAATCCTTTTAGAAATCCGTGTAAGTTTTCAGGATGCCGTATCCATCAGCACGGACGTGGTTGAAGAAGTGGACGAGGTAGAGCTTTCACGCCTCCAACTTCAATCTGAACCGCGGCCATTCGAGAAGCGATGCAACTGTTTAGAAGACGAGAAACACTTGGCTATTTCGGAAACCAAAGACGACGAATCTTCTCAAGCCTCATCACTAGAGTATCCTTCGACATCAAAAACGGACCAAAATTCCATAGAATTGAAGAAAGATTCTACCGATGTACATGTAAAGGTGTACGAAAAAGGGACAACTGACAAGGACAATTCGGATTTAGAGGAGGACGATACTGCGGACGCTGGTCCTAGTTCAACTGCAAAGAAATTTGGTCCAAATTCAGCTATGAAGGAAGCTAGTACGAACTCAACAACGTCGAAAGCAGGCGAAAGTGAAGCGGAATCTGAAGAGGAGGTGATTATTGATGTCGTCCAACTGGATGTGCAGCCCAACTCGCCTGCCAAAAACATCGGTAATATTTGACCACAGTTATTTGATTTTGCTAACAGAGGTCTCAGTAATTTCAGGCAACCTTCCTCATGCTTTTTAGTGGTAGGTTTTAATAAAAATTATAGAGGATGTCTCTCATTTAATTTTGGATTTGGTTTCATTAGATACTCATTTAGCTCCACTTTTCTCGATTCATTTAGATTTTCTATACGAATTACGAGGGACGTGTGGCGCAGTGGTTGGAGGCGCCACTGCGACACACACGTGGAATCAATTTCCGCGCCCATGACCCACCAAGTCTTCCATCCCTCTGGGATCAGCAAATTGCTACCAGACTTGTTTAGGAGGAAAGTAGTACTGGCTCCATACATTGGTAGGTCACCGCGAGTCATTGTCAAGGCCAGATATGCATTCAATCACTTCCAACGATACTTAAGTGGAGTACATGGCGCATCCCTCAAAGATTGATCAACGCCGGAGCTTTATCCTTTATTTTTTTATATGAATTACAATGTTATTTACCTTAATACTTGGATGGGCTATTATGATGAATCACAAAGGACCTATCATAAGCTATCATTAGCCGCGTCGACGGGCCTACGGATAGAATAGCGTGGTTAATAACCTTAATGCTTACTCAGTTGTTGAAGTACATTCCAGCTCTAACGAACACCCAAATGTTCCTGGATCGTCTACGTGACGCGCGACCAAACAACAGTGCGTACGTGGTGGAGTCTTTCGACGTCACTGCTCTCTATGCGAACGTGTCGAATGACCCCGCAATGCAAGCCATAAACGAGCTCCTTATACAACACGAAGGAGCAAGACTGCCTAAACTGCTCAATCTTCAGACGGTCCGGGAGGTATTACGCACAAATGAGAGGGCTGGCAATGGGACAACGACTGGCACCAAGCCTTGCCATTGCATTCATGTCTAAGGTGGAAGCGCCAGTAATCAACCTCCGTCCGTTACTCTACTGTAGATATATAAATGCCTGCTTGGTTATTTGTTCAACACAAGAAGAAATTGACAGATGTTTCGAGTTGTTGAACGCACAGTCAGAGTATATTAAATTCACCCGAGAGAAACCAAAAGAAAACTGGCTTCCACTTCTGAACGTGCAAATTAACCTATCAGAAAACGGCTACATTACGAAGTGGTATCGAAAGCCAAGTAGTAAAAACATCTCCTCTCACTCCTCTCACACGGAAAGGGCGTCTGTGAGAAACATGTTTCAAACAGCAATCAACGTGCGAACGGGAAGAGAGCAGAGAAAGAAGTCTCGAAGCTTGGCGCGGTAAGTAGCCATTTCTAATGGCTACGAAACTGTAACTCGAGATAGGTGTAGAGGAAACCACAGGTACTCCAACGATAACTCTATCGACAATAAGGTCCCGTTTGTAAATTTCGGTTCAGCATTTTCTCTGTTTGGTTATGGAGGTGTTTGGCCGTGTTGTCAACTTGACCGTTCCAGGATCTGAGGAAGACGAAGTCCGCAGAGACGTTAGCTTGTACGTAAATAAAGAATAAAATAACACGTCGTGTTTGCTGACCAGAAGTAGAAAGAATCACAAAGAAGTCTGAAGGATTTTCGTTTAACCGAAAATTTGCCGATTAATCAAAAATCCCTTTACCTGAGAATAAAAAGTCAAAATAAAGTTTTCTTAGATCCAAATTCTAGCTGGTGACTATGTGGTTGCCCAGGATGACAGTGACTTCTTGGAGTTGTTTTGTCTTACTTGAGATTCTGGATGCAAATGTCGTATTCCTCCTTGGCTGGGACGAAGCTGCTGGTCGACGACCTATTCACTAAAATCGTAGCTCGGGACACTTTGAGCCGCGGTGTGGCGGTAAACTGTTAAAGGAGTGGTGATGGGGACTCGACTCTTTATTTAATTTCTTTGTTAACTAGCGTCTACTCTTGGGAGTTTTTATTATCTGTTTGATTGAAAATTCAATTCCACGTCTTCTTGAAGAATCATGTGACCTCTAGCACACACAGGTAAAGAAATATCTTCTGCTTGTCCAAGAATCACCAACAAGTGACCGTTATCATCGACTTATGTGGATCGAAGGGAGGTCTGTTGTCTTGCGAATAGTTTTCTTCTAGGACGGTGACAATATCCAGGCACAACCTGGTGTTCTTCGTTGTTCGACAACCAGGAACAATTCTCGACCCAGCTAAACGAAATAGTGGAAAAGTTGCAGGGAGAAGTGGGATAACTTATATCATTGTTTCGAAAGAACTTTCTGAACCCAAACAAAACAAGAATGAAGTACTCGAGTACTCCATTCGCTGAGTAATGTAATTTTTGCGGTATCAAAAGGAATATTGAAAACTTTCCGGATAAATAATGGTGAGCATGGATATCGTCTGAGGACTATTTCGTCATTCCTCTTCATCTCTCGACTTTCTTCGTTAATCCTGTTTTCCCCTTTCCCTTCTTCTCCTGTTTGTTATCACAATTCTCAATCACTTCTTTTCTAGAGACACTCGATCCATCGTTAATTGCTCCGAAGTCCATCATGTATGCCGACACCTCTTCTGATGAGATTAGCGACGAGGAAGAAAGTCATGAGACTATGCCGCCCATTCAACGATCTCAGGGAATCGTAAACATTCATGAAGTCTTGCATCTTTCACCAGATAATCTGCCTGAAGCTAAAGCTAACGGCAAAATGGGCGGCGACATCATGAGTACAGATGATCTGGGGACGAATTTATCGAACGGAACAAATTCGGACGACGAGTTGGAGAACAAGGAGACGGAGAAGACTGTGGAAAAAGTGAGCACCATCGTAGCACAATTTTTTAATTTATTATTTACTGCGTACTCTTTTTTTTAATGGCAGAGTATATATTGCGAAATACAATTTTAATGACGCTGAGATATTTGCAAATCTCCGGATCGCAGGTGTATGCATTGGGGAAGGAACGCGCTATTCTCCTTTACGGGGAGTAACTCGTTCACCACCACACCATGCGAGCCCTTCGTTTCGCCTGTCTCTCAGCTAGTTCTATCGATCTTTCATAATAAGCTAATAACAATAAGTAAGTTTTCATTCTATCGAGTTCATCATAGTACAGTTAATAGGAAATTTAATGCTTAGTCCTCGGGCTGTCCACTATCGATTTTTAGGCTTTTGAATGCTCATAGTATGTTGGCTTTAGGAATCGACGACGGTAACAACAATCATGTTAGGAGTAGACTCACATCCGTCAAATCAGTTCTCGTCAGTGGCGGTTAAGATGAATTTTGACGCAAGAGAAGCAATGACTGACGAAGAGTTCTCCGAGAAACTTATCTGATAATGCTCCGACAATTTTTCAATCCCTGTGAATTCGATAGTTCCAGTGCAAATTCGTAAGCTAGTCGACAAGAACTATGGCTGTGCTCAATATCAATCGATTCTTTGAACATGGAAAAAGTTCTTTCACCAATGACTGTACCTTAACACCTAGAAACCATGAAAGATTCCGTACCGTGTTTTCTGGCTCATATAAAAAGTGATGAACAGTATGATTCAAGGCGATTTTTCGTGACATTTCAACACATTTCTTTCAGACAGTTGAGTGCTTGATAAGTTAATGGATAGCAATGTAATATGCTATCAAGTGGACGAATCTTTATGCAAAACGCGAAAGTCCTGATAGAATTATAACACTAAACCCAGTGATAACGTCAGCATCAATCGGAACTACCCAAAAAATAGAGAATACTTGTGATATACAAGACGCTAATTATGGGCGTCGACTGGATATCATCCAGAAATTGACCTCGATGGCACATTTTTTCCAAGGCTCCTTCCGTCACATTTCATTTTTCGACATTGCGTCGCTATGATGAGTCGCTGTCGCTTCTAATACAACTCATTTATACTGGTTCCAGACGATCTGTCACTTTTCTGCTGCTGCATACCCTTTGAAATCCCATAAAGCATGTTGTTAGTGCGAAAATCCTAAAAATAATCGTATTAGAGAAAAAATGGAAGAAAGAAAAACAAAAAAGAGAACGAAAAACCCAATAGGAGCGGTATTAGTAAGTGATTTAGCCAAGAACACTGGGAACGCCCTCTAGAAATTGTAGAAACATCGAAAAATCTCAATAATACGACAAAATAACGCCGCAGAAGGTACTTGTTCGTAGTAGTGGGCGTGGTTTCTCGCGCTTTTTGTGGCGACCATTAGGAACACGAGGTTGCCCGCCAGCTGTTGGAAAATCCAGAATCTACAAAATCCCCAACGGTTTACCGCCTCGGGGCTGGGATGTGTTCTTGGGTGTCGGGCTGCGATGTACAACGGGGGATTTATCCCCCCGGCAGGGTCTCCCAAGTTGAGTAGTCCGACGTTCCCATCAAGAAACCCAGCTAAGAGTGAGCCAATACCACGACTGACCACCGTATTGTTATCAAATTAGTCGCATTGTAGCAAATCTCCCTCTGATCCACAGGTACGGCGACCGCCTCTGGTGGTAACGACTTGGGGCAGATTTTGGCCATGCTGACTTAGGACTCCAGGGAAACACACTGGTTAAGCCAGCAAACCTCCGAAAAATGAATATGCTAGGGTCCACACAACCAGTGAGGACGCGCTGTCCAAGTATCCAAGTGAGTATAAAAGCTGAAACTCTTACAAGACTATGGAGAGAATTAGTACGAGTAGCAGAGATGTTGGTTGAAAGTAGAACGTTCGTTGTCGATTCAGTTCTTTCTTAATTTCCTCACGACCTACTACCATTATGACGGCTGCTTGTCGAGCTAGCTGATCATTGCCAGCCCACAGTTCGCACGCATATTCACCAGAATCGCTCATTTGAACCTAGAATGAAAGCCAATAGGAGAAAAAGAAAACAAAGTTGAAAAAAAAGAAATGAATTTTAAGCGATAACTTATAAAATATATCAATGAGAAATTAAAGAAAGAACTAAATTTTCATCGGAAAATATGAACCTTCTTGATGGCAAGAATCTGCCCAAGAGCTTTGAGTGACGCTCGTTCACCGTCGACGAACACCGGATCACCGTTCAACGTCCAATGCTAAATGAACATAACTACTGAAGGTCCTGAAGCTCAAACAATCGCAGCTATAGCAAAAAAAGGAGATTGCTAAAAGATAAACAAGAAAGTGAAAGAACAGAAACAACAACAGAACACGATTTGTCGTCTTGAGGAAATGTTCCATTTAGTCATTCAATTATAAGACCCCACATCACCTATGAAGGGCACGTGTAGTTCAGTGGTCGGAGGTACCCAACAATGCACATGGGATCGTTGTCCGCACCCAGAGCCACCAAGCGCTCCGTCTGTCCAAGGTCGGCAAATTCATACCAGACTTGTCGAAGAATAGCACCACTAGCTTCATGCATCGGTAGGCCACCGGTAGGTCATTGTAAAAACCAGATATGCATTCAATCACCTCCAAACGATGCTTAATGAAGCCGAATGCATGGTGCATAACACAGGTTGGTCAACATCGAGAGCATTATCCTTTTATTTTACATAATCTATTCATTTTACATAACCTATCTTAGCACTTCTTTCAGTGAGTCGGCTATCTTGCGCCCATCATCCATGAGTGTCTTTGAATCTCGTTTATGTTCGGCCCGCACTTGCAAATTTTTGATCTTTTTCATAAATGCTGGTCGAAATGATTCTCTCTGAAATCCTGGAATAGCTCTTGTTCCGTGTTCTTCACCATAGGCTGTCGCTTGCCTTTGATCGGATCATAAGCAGCTTTTCTCAGACGATTCTGGCACTAATTTCCCACCATCGGAGTGTTGACATAAGACTAGGTCGAAGTAGGAGGACGACGTATTACACCTCTAGCCACTGCATTTCGCTGGACCGAAGTAAACGTTTAATATTTTAAATCAAAATTAATGCTTTTATAGGTACCTAGTACTCAGGGCACCTAGCAAAGAAGAAAACTATTTTCAACTCATAAACGAAAAAAAAGCACAAAAAGTCCTGAGGTAAACAAAAACGTCCCGTTTCTGTTTTCCTTTTTTTGCCTGTCTCACACCCTCCTCCCACCATTAAGAAATCCACCAATACTAAAACGTTTAGTGAGAAATCAGAAATACTAACGTGCGATACAACGATGTTTAAGGTAGATAAAGGAAAAGTGGACAAATAAAAGAGGAAGATTGATCGATGACGAAAAAGAACTGACCATTCTTTGTGATGGATAAGATAAATCTGCATAGCAATCCAGAAGCAAAGTATCATTCACAGAAATAACTGTGTCTTTCAATGTAACATTGAAAGAGTTCTCTGAAAACGAAATATAACATTTGAAAACAAGTGGAAGAACATATAGCAACCATTGCCAGAATAATGTTATACCTTTTTACTTTCTGCCTACTTTAATTTCGCGGCAGGGTACTACGCGTAATACAACCACAACGTTGCTGTGGTTGTATTACGCGTAGTACCCTGCCGCGAAATTATAGTAGGCAGAAAATAAAAAGGTATAACATTGTGATTTCAACTACAGCCGCAGCTTAACTGGGTTCTATGCCGATTTGGGCACCCTAGATCAATCCTGCTGACGGGTGATTGCTGTGGCAAAAGATCGATAGAAATAACTGAGAGACAGGCGAAACAAAAGACCCGCATGGTGTGGTGGTGAACGCGTTACTCCCCGGAAAGGACGATAGCGCGTTCGTTCCCCACCATAGACACCTGCGATCCAGAGTTTTGCAAATATCTCAGCAACGTTGTGGTTATTGCCAGAATAGTTACTATTTTTTCATCATATTTGTGGTAACCATATTCGTGGCCTATAGCGTCGCTTTGCGATCTTGCAGCATGTAAACGTTTTCACCTCGTTGAGAGAAACTTTGGTTGTCATAAACATCCTTTGTGAACCACACTCTTTTTATACAATCGGAACCTTTCGTTTGTTGCATTTGTTCCAAACCATCACGGGTACGGTAACACAAAGGGACTTGAAGCTGTACGGCAAACCGTCCTCAGTCATCTGATCACAGTGGAGCTGGAGACGCAAGCTGATGGGTGTTTTGGGTAATGGTTCTGGACCGCTGCCAAAGCACCGCCTCCTCCAGAAATTTAAAGAGCCCTGTGCGTCAATACCGTATTCGCCTCCCTGCTCATCATGTGTAATGCGCCTTGTAGTCAATCCAAAGTGTTCCCTCTTGTTGTATGTGGTAGCTGTTGTATATTAACATTGCTTTCATGTAGCTCTGTACCTATAGTAAAGACACTAACCTGCATTACCCTCATTTATTGATCATGATACAATATTGCAGTCTGTATTGTACCAATGTTTATATTTCGTTGTTTTTGAATTATTATTGTTATAAACGGTTTAATTACCCAAGTTTGAGATATTGCTCGGCGACAAGTACGAAAAAGTCCCGCGTGGCAACCTCTACGAAGTCGGGCAACCTACTCAAAGTTAGTGATCATAAGGTGCCGAGGACTGACTCGAAGACCTAATTTCCACTAGCAACTGTTATAGAACACAAGTTCAGCAATGAAGAACTAAGTAAGGACGTAAATTCTCGTCTTAGTTCATTTTGAAAGAATGGAAATTTCTTCATCACTAATGAAAACATACGAGTGTGTTCTCGCTCGTTCTATAGTCACATGACAAGACGCAACATCGCTCTGACCGACCCACTGCCTCTAGTCGACGGAATCGAAAAAACACATCTCTCATTGCGGCGATCAGTAGCAAACGTAGGATCCCCTTCCTGCAGTTCAAGTAGTTACGCTGTTGCTCTGCTATCTCAGGACCCCACGGAGAATCGACTCGACCAGCACTCTACGACAGTCAAGATGAAACGGGAACCGAACCCATGCAAAAAGGTTGGAAGACCTTCATTGGTCTTTGATGCGAAAAAACGAATCGAATGCAAGAAATACTGGGGTTCGCAAAGCGGATATAAGTGACGGGTAATGTGAGAACAAATAAAAATTTTTTCGACATGAAAACTTCGAAGCCACGAAAGGATTGGCAATAAAGGTGCGCATGAAAACTGTTCAAAAAACAGGATATAAAGAAGTTTGATCATATTTAGCCGACATGTCAGAAATTACATAAAATAAAGGTAATAAACGGTTTACTGCCTCATTGTGGCTGGGAGGTGTTCCTGGGTGTAGGGCTGCAATGCACAGCGGGGAACTCATCCCCTGGCAGGGTCTCCCAAGCTGAGAAGGAGTGCGGCGTTTCCATCAGGAAGGCTAGTTAAGAGTAAACCAATAGAAAGATCCACCACCGTCTGGTATAAAAGTCGCATGGTGGCAAATCTCCCTCTGATTCACAAGGGCTGCGACTGGCTGTCGCTGTGACGACCTTGAGCAGACTTTAGCCAGACCGACCTCGGGAATCCAGAGAACCACAATGGCTTGGCCAGCAAATCTCCGAAAAATGGTGATTATGCTCGGGCCCGCACAACTAGTGAGGGCGGGTCGTTCAAGTATCAAGTACCAAGTAAAGGCAGTGAAATAAGCAAAAACTAACCAAATATTCTTAACATTGCGCTTGCTTGGATGGTTCCGGCTTCGTTGACAGCATGACAAGTGTAGACCCCCTGTATATAATGTAAATCACTAGAAACATCACTCGCTTCTAGATTTTTTAAAATTCCCTAATATTTGTATTCCATTTTCTTGGTTCACAGCACAATTTCCTGCCATAAAAAAGGAATCTATGAGGTTCCAAGACCGAACCTGATCCTCCCTGGTAACGTTGACAACATAGAGATGGTCGTCATTTGGACGAACGAAGAGCCGATGTTGAAGAGCTGCCGGAAACGCAGCCCCGCCATCCTTTGACCATTTGATTACTGGAGGAGGAATTCCTTAAATCAGTACCTTATCACTACCTAGTTCGTTTCAATAATTCGCAGCGGCAAGGAATTCAAAATGATGAAATTTTGAAAAACCTCCACACTTTAACACACGCTCATAACTACGATTGCGATAAAGGGTTAAACTCCATTTGAAATATAAGTACTGATCTTATGGTTACAGGGATTACATTTCTACACATATCGTCAACATTTTTGTCCACCTCTCCACAACAAATACGTCATCGCAATACTTTCCTATCCCAACACTACGTAAGGGTCACCACTAAGCCTTATCCATCTTTGTTATCACACCATTCAATTCTCCTTTCTTGCTTCTTCTACAGCTTCCAGCAGAATCGAGAAGAAAGTATCCCGTAGTAGAACGCAAAAAATCCTATTCAATATTAAGTTGGCAATTATAAAATACATTCTTTGCCAATAATTCGAAAGTTTCAAATATTTCTGTGTTCATGTAGCCCATAAAATCATCATTGACAAGATATTATTGTGTACCGAACCGCGATGTACAAATAATTCTTCTGGTGGATCGAGTCATAAATGGAGGAAAAGCTCTTTGCCATGGATAAGCCAACCGAACTCAAGCCTAGTAGCAAAGATATGAAGCTCCTTCGCATTCGCCAACTATTGTCGTTGGCCTCGATCTATGGTACGGGGTTCATGGGAGAATGGAGAAAAGTCCTGCCACATTAAAAACATACCAGTTAAAAAGCTAAATATGATTTCATTGATAAGATTATTCATGAAAGCGTGCTATTCAAGTACTCGAGTTAAATTGGAGACCACAAACTCGTATTTCCAATCCATTCCATTAAGTAGTTAATGAACTAGTTTTTGAAAATACGATACAAAACCTTTAGCCCTAGGATAATAAGTACTTTAGCGTAGTAGGATTTGTAAGTTCAAAGACCTGAGCATTTTCAGAGATCCTACCGAAAGCTTTTGATGAAGCGCTGGTTCTAACACTGTTCAGATCATCTTAGGCTTTAACTCCCATGAAATCTATAGGTTATACGCTTTGAGAGCATTGTTTCCAATGTTAACCTTTTATTTTCTGCCTGCAACAATTTTTTCACAGCAGGGTATTATGTGTGATACAACCACAATAATACTGAGATATTTGCAAAACTCCCGACCGCAGCTGTCTGCGGTGGAGATCGAACACGCTATTAGCCTTTTCGGGGACTAACGCGCTCGTGTTCGATCTCCACCGCAGACACCTGCAGTCCCGAGTTTTGCAAATATCTCAGCATCAATGTTTCCAATACTGATTAAATAAAATAGCAGCAAAAATCGATCTATAGGTATAAATTTAACTAGGCTAACATACCAGTGGCTGCGCACATGATCTTCGCGTTCTGTCCAATAAGCAACGACATATCGTCGGGTTCGTTAGAAAATACAGGCGCTTGAAATATCTAAAATAAAAGCAAGTAGAAATTCAAATGGAGAAAACGTAAAAAGTGCAGTAAAAGAAATCACTGTAATCTAAACGTGGTTTAAAAAATGAAGGATACCAAAGAAAAACAAAAACTACATGGATCGGGTCCGTAAAATCACGGAGTTGATTGGTTAATTATCTACATTGTAAAGGATTTATGTACGCTTAGAAGTGATTAAAACTTTTTATTACCTGTTTCCTCTAATGGCTTAGCGCCTAATCGCTATATTGGGGTGTTGCAGGGTGTCAAAAGATCTACTTCATCGCTCTATAAAGGTCTCCTAAGCTAAAGAGTGGTACGACACCTCCGTCCAGAAGACCACATACGAGTAAATCTTCGTCGCAGCAAGGTTTGACGAGCTAATCGTGACAGTCTTGTCGGCATGAACAGTAAAAGTAGAAGGGTTTCTTACTGAAACAGGCATTTTTCGTGTTCGTCGGCAAAATAGAAGTTCACTGAGAGCAGTTCTGACGCGTCACGAAAATGAATAGAGATTTTAAGATTTTACTGGTTTCCGTTTCATTCTATCCATAACAACGGGATTACAGGTGATAAACAGAGATATTAACAAGGAGGAATACTTACTTATTTGACACTTGAATGGCCCGCCATCACTATTTGTGTGGACCCCAGCATAATTACCATTTTTCGGAGATTTGCTGGCTGAGCCATTGTTGTTCCCAGGAATACCGAGGTCAGCCTGGCCAAAATCTGCCCCAGGTCTTCACCACGACACGCTTGTCGGTGGGACGAATCCCCCTGCTGTACATCGCAGTCCGACACCCAATGAAAAGTTGAAAGCAAAAAAAAAGATCACCGGTTGGAAATCATAAGACTATGGAGTAAGGGTGATATAGAAGAAGTGTGAATGATATTATGATGAACCTTAAGGGTTGACCGTGTACTGTGCTCAGCGGCGAAACGATTCCGTACCACACACTGGTACTCAGCTCGATCGGACGTCGACACATCGAGTAGCAGCAGTTCGGCAGTGACCAGCTCGTGACCGTTGATAGTTCCTGGAGTTGATGTCAAGCCAATACACTTAAGAAGTAATCAAAAAATGTCAAATAAAAATAAATAATGCACAAAAACACGAAAAAGGGATATAAAACAAGTCTACCGTACCATCAAATGTTCAGATAAAAGTCATAAGAAGTTCACTGGATTAAATAACGTCAATGAAACCAATATGAGCTACAAAAAGCGAGAATGTTATGTTTTTATGCTATACACAGTAGTTCTTTAATCTACAAAGAAGTTTGTTATATAGGGTGTTCGAATGGATTAGTAGCATGTGCTACTCGTAGCGGACAAAACCGGCGGCTCTTGGCAGGTGTTTAAACACGTATGCTCTTACTCGTCACAAAAAGGAAGTGGATTCAGAAGATGTACTTCTTGCTTGCTATGCACAGGATTTACTTCTACCTACTGCAGATAGGATGACACAGAGTATTTTTAGTATCGCTGAAATGAGATGGGAACCAGTGAATTTATCGATATTCCCTTCACTTAATTCGAACGGTGTTCACTCCACTCGATTTGATTCCATTCCACTATGTAACTTCTGAGAACACTCGGATTGAATCATTAAGGGGCTCTGAAGAAGATGATGGAGTTGAGACATTAACCGCAATAAGGCTTTACAAAAATATCGATTAACCTTCCCATTATTATAATATAATATCCTTCCGACGATTTACCGCCTCATTGTGGCTAGAAGGTGTTTCTGGGTGTCGGGCTGCAATGTACAGCGTGGGGATTCATCCCTCCAGCACGGTCTCCAAAGTTGACAAGGAGCCCGGAGTTTCCATTAAGGAGCCCAGTTAAGAGTAAGCCAACATAAGGATCCACCAACGTCCTGATACTAAACTAGTCACACGGTGGCAAATCTCGTTCCGATCCACAAGGGCGGCGACTCCCTGTGGCGGTGACTACATAGGCAAACTTTGGCTAGGTGGACCTCGGAGACTCCAGGAAATCATAACGGCTAAACTAGCAAAACTCCGAAAAAAAAATGGAAAATATGCTGGAGCCTGCACAGTCAGTGAAGACGGTCATCCAATCATCCAAGCATCCAAGTAATATATTAATATATTGGTCTCTTGAGCATTTAGCAGACAAACGCTGTACTCTCAGATAGCGTACAAAGCATTTTAAAACCGGATTTTTACAAATGCATACACGATTAATGGTGGGAAATTTAGCACAGATAACAATAACCATTGATAATATTAACATTAGTACATTCAGAATTTAAAAAAGCTCGTACCGTTTACCACCGCACTATGATTGACGTTCATAATAGTAGTAGCATCTGGGACCAACGTGCGCGGTCGGCCATTCTCAACAACTCGCCACTAAATTATTACTCTACCTAGCCACTAGATCTAGGTATATCTATCAAGAATCAACGTATCACGTTTTAACTTTAAAGGAAAACAACATGTTGCCATCTTTTCCGAATTTACCAAAAGATTTTTTGTTCTAATGGATTTTTATATACATGTATATATATATTTATATAGGGGCGCGTGTGGAGCAGTGGTCGGAGGCGACCTGCAAAACACACGTGAAATCTGCCCCTGCGATCATACCTTCCATCCTTTCGAGTTCGACAAATTGGTACAAGACTCGTCTAGTAAGATAGCACCACTGGCTCGATACATCGGTAGACCACCGTGATTCATCGTAAAGCCCAGATATGCATTCAATCACCTCGGAACGATGTTTAATGAAGTCGAATGCATGGCGCATCCCACAGGTATTGATCAACAACGCCGAGAGCTTTATCCTTTTATCCTTTATATATATATATATATATATATATATATATATACATATATACGCATAGTTCTATAGGCTTAACAAATGCGGTTGTCAAAACCAGTCGTTGTGGTATTATGAACGAGATTCTATGTACTTAGAATGTACTGTGTTGTACTGCTCTACGCCTCCGTCGTAAACAGAACATGTCAGAAGTTGAAGCAGCAGGAAAAATTACGTATTGTGGCACGTTTACTGCAATCGCCAATGATTTGATTATGCCACTTTTCGGTCAAATGTGACTCCACAATGAAAAGTCTGATTAAAGACAGTAGTGATGCTCAATTGAGTGATTTGCTTCAGAAATCACATTAATTTTTAGAGATACTGAATACACTACTTCAAAAACATCTTTCCTTTAACCTCACGATGACTAGTCAACAAGTGCCCTTTTTTGACGAGCATAGATGAAGTTGATGTTCAACTTTTATTCGGCTAAAGTTTCGATGTCTTCGTCTTCACCAGAGTTGATGATGCGAATCGATGGTCCACAGTCATTCGCCCTCTCTATGTGTCATCTTCGTCTTCGTGTCGAGTCGGATCTTCCTCAGTTAACCATCTCTCGAGTCACTGTGGACCATCTACTCGGATCATTGGCTCTGACGAAGAGGAAGAGGTCGAAACGTTAGGCGAATAAAAATTGTTCATCAAATTCGTGTAAGCTCATCATAGAAAGAATACATATTGAATACACTGCTTTGTATCGACGAAACTAAGCGTATATAATAAGTGAACCGTAGGCTTCCAATGAAGAATTGGGATCGTCATCTATGTACTTTCAAAAGGCCATTAGTTTTTTGAACATCGGTTTTAAATGAGGCTAAGAAATGAAAAGTGTTAAAATTTAACTATTTTTCAACTATATTATACTATATTTTTTTGATGATGCTGAGATATCTGCAAAACTTCTGACCGCATGTGTCTGCGGTAGGGAACGAACGCGCTATTGTCCTTTCCAGGGAGTAACGCGTTCATCACCACACCATGCGGGTGCTTCGTTTCGCCTGTCTCTCAGCTAGTTCTATCGATCTTTTGCCATCGGTATATCGATACAATACACTATATTACTATATTTTATTTCTCTCATATAACGTAGATGTTAGTCCAGTGAAGTAGCTGTTTATAGTCGCATAATTCCTTTAGTTGCACTCTTTCGTCTCAATGCAAAGTATTTGACAGCGAACCATGTAAAATTAGGGTTTCTGCTGAGGTTATGAAAGTGCTTGACTGAGTAGATTGCCTGCCACCTTGATCTTTCCAGGCGGTGAAGAAGGCGAAATCGCCAAAACATCACTATCATGAGTGAATAAGTGCTCTTACCTAAATTTAACTCTAACTGTTTTAAAAATATTCAAATTCCGTTAAAATAACGAATTCTCCTAACTGCATCTCTTATGTCTCTTCAGCGGCTTTTTACATAACTTTCTTAAAACCGATCTTAGGTTTAGGCTTATGACTTATTACTAGTTAGTGATGAAGCTTCTGCTGGACTAATGGCGTTCATAAATACGTCGGTAGTTGCATTTTTTATTCTTTCATTAGTGGTCCGGTTTTAATTGCAATGAAAAACAATTAAAGGCAAATTTTCTTTCCAACCTCAACATGAAGAGGTGCAAGGCCATATCCAGAACAACTGAACCGTGCCTGTTCACCAACTAATGTGCTTACACTCGTTGACGGATGAGCGACTATTCGAGCACGAGGCGAATCATCCACTAAACAAAGCTGTATTCTAGCGGGATTCCAGGTGAAAAGAGAATTGTGGGAAAAAGTTTCTGTGGGAAAAATTGTGGGAAAAGCGCAAAAAAAATCTTCAAGAAAGTACTTAATCTAAACCTGTTACAAACCGGAGATGAACTATGTCTTTGGAATTCTTAAGTTTTACTTTGTAGACCATCAAAGATGTTCTAAAAAGTAAAACTTCATTGTAGTATTGAAAACCCTTGTTTCCGCATTTATCTTGCATCTCAGAAAACAAACTATTCGTAGCACTGAATGAACGAATACTTAAGAGAAGACGTAATAGAAGATTTCATGATAGTTGCCTACCACATGTGAGATTGTTGACGTCGATGGCGAAGACGTCGATTCCACTAAGCGGAATCGGATGCGCACATCGAGTGTGAACGGTATGACGAGAGAGCTTCGAAGCTACGAACCATGATGGAAACCATGACAGATGGCAGTCGCATAACAGCGACGATGTGTCCAAATGTCTAGAAAGATTTCCTCGAAACATAACACAATTTCCAATGATTTAATACTTGATACTTGAACGGGCCGTCGCCACTAGTTGTGTGGACCCAGCACAATCTCCATTTTTTGGAGATTTTCTGGTTAAGCTGTTGTGACTCCCTGGAATCCCGAGGTTGGCCTGGCCAAAGTCTGCCCCACGTCGTCTCCATCACAAGTAGTCGCAGCAATTGCGGATCAGAGGGAGATTTGCCACTATGCGACTTTGATACCATATACCATGACGGTGGTACATCCTGGTATTAGTTCACTCTTGGTTAAGCTTCCTCATGGAAACGTCGAATTCCTTCTCAGCCTCGGAGACCCTGCTGGGTGGATGGATCCCCCCCCCGCTATACATCGCAGCCCGCACCCAGGAAAACCTCCCTGCCACAATGAGGCGGTAAACCGTTGGGAGGAATGATTTAATACCCTGTAATTATTGACTGATAAAAGATCTGTGCAGTGCAGAGGATAGAGGTGCTCTGGGATAGATAGAGGGCCGTTGGTTCGATCCTGTGCCTAGTGCTAACCACGGTTTCCCACCTCTGGAGGTCCAGAAATTGGTGCCAGAATTGTCTGCGAGGATAAAAAATATTAACTTCATACAATGGTAAGCCACCGCAAGTTATTATATAAGCCAAATATGCATTCAATCACTTCTACGATGCTACGAATGAAGTTCAATGCATGGCTTATCCGTAGAGGATTGATTAACAGCAAACGCATCTATCTTACTTTTTTCTTATAGGAGGTTCCCGTACGTCGAATGACAATCTACATCGGGTCATTTAAGATGCTAGAAATCACCGCCGACCTTGAAGGAACCTACTTGAAAAGCAGGAAACTTCTCTCGTATCCGTAGGAGCTGGGCAATGCCAGTGGTGATGAAGTGAAAACGAGCTGACATGAGTTTCTTGGATTTCCAGACTATGAATTAAACACAAAATGTGCCTTAAACGCATAAGAATCTCCGTTGAAGAGAGCAATTCAGATTATTAACGTTTTCTCTGTTTTAATGTGAAAGAAATATTGGAACCCTAGCAAAAGACGAAAGGGTGGAAAATAGTTAGAAATGCAAAAGGACTGCAGCAAAAATCATTTCTTTTGTGTTCCAGTTTCAACAACAGAAAACAACTTTCAATCTTTCACTAAATAACTCTTGTGGAGGCAAAAATTGGTAGCAGTGATAGAATTTACAAAAAAAAGTAAATTACATGAAAAAGGGGCGGATAGCACAATGATGTCCGTCATCATGAGCATGGTGTTAGTTCGATTCCGCTCTGGGCCAAACAAGCCTCTCATCCCTCCGAGATCGGGAAATCGGTAGCAGGAAAATCTTGTTTGGGAAAAATCGCTCTCTGCAGTCCAATTGAGAACGCTCAAGCCCGGCTATCTCAGGACGCCAGGGAGAATTGCTTGACCAGTATTCTACGACATTCAAGATGAAATGAAAATCCTCATAGAAACCGAAGCCACAAGTGAGAGAAGTGTTGAGACACGCACAGTAGACGTGAACACGAGTCATATAAAAAAAGTGGATGAAATGACTACCGAAGATTGTTCAAAACTAAAAGTGATGCTTTAGTTTAATAATTTATAAATTCTATAACTAACTCGTTCATAAATGTTTTGTTCTTTTAAGGATCAACTTAACCTATTTCTTCTATAGAGTTCTCACTTTTCACCAGCAAAAGGCGAACATCGGGCTCCATAAGTAAAAAATCGAGAGTCATCAATAAAATGAATATACTAGTGACATTGGTAAATAGAAACCTACAATTCAGTTAACTGAAGGGGCGTGAAGGCTTCTGGATGTATGGTGGTTATCGGATTGTCGGCGAGATCAAGATATTTCAAAGCTGGAAACCTCTCGAATGCCCTATATTGAAAAATATAATAAGACAAAGCGAAAATAGCTAGAAAACTAAAGAGAAATCTAGTAGACCAAAAAAGGCTAACGGATCAGAATTACTTGTCGCCTTAAGTCGTATTAACGTTTACAAATTCGGTATAACTCTAATTTTTTCAATGTTTAACGTTTTGTTTTCTGCCTTCTATAATTTTCATGGCAGGTTACTAAGTAAGCGAAATACAACCACAACGTTGCTGAGATATTTGCAAAACTCTGGACCGCAGGTGTCTATGGTGGGGAACGAACGCGCTATTGTCCTTTCCGGGGAGTAACGCGTTCACCACCACACCATGCGGGTCCTTTGTTTCGCACGTCTCTCAGCTATTTCTAATTTTTTCTATATATACACATATATATGAATACACATACATATATTTCCATATACATGCATATATACATATATACACATATATATACATACACGTATATAATATTAACCTTTCTGAAGGCGATACTGCCGAAACGTCAGCTAGCGTTGTATTGTATTGTGTTTTTATGGAAGTAAATGTATGCTGTTTAAAAACCTCGCGGTTGCTGAACAAGAAAACGACACATTAACCTTTCATTTTCTGCCTACTATAATTTTGGTCAGAGTTCTTCACAAAGAGCCTAGAAGAAAGATATGTTGCTCGACGAGTTCCTAGAGCGAGCAGAACCCACTGGGCTGCTCCTCCACGCGACAGGGAATGGAAGATTTACTGGCGCCGGCTCGAGTCATTCGACGATCAACAGGACTATGGGTGATACAGGTGACACTATAATTTTTCACGGTAAGATATGGTGTGAAATACAACCACAACGATGCTGAGATATTCGTAAAACTTGGACAACTGACTCCCATATTAATATATATATATATATATATATATATTGGATATCTATATATATATATATAATGCTTCAATAAATGGAAAAAGTCAATGTACATGAGGAATTTCCGTGATTATGATCCGTATGCCGCTGCTGTTCTGCGGAAGGCGTATAAATATGAAGGAATAAATCGCATTTCCCAGTAATCTCTCTGAAGTGGCGAAAAAAAAAGACAAAAGAATTATTGAAGATCATTGTAGCACATCTACGTGCACTGAAGTGATTTCAATCAGCTACCTCTCAAAGATGGACTCAGGAGAATTAGTTAAATAAAAGGAACCAGACTGATGTCATGAAGAAGTTCGCAAATTTCCGCGATATAAGATTTAAACTTAAGTTTCGTTTCAGCTTCAGTTTTAGCGATGTGAACAGAGAAAAAGCTTCCCGTTTTACTTTTCGCTCTCTCAGTGTTACCTGACATTATTTACTTTTTTAAGGTTTTATATAAGTTTTGCACTTTAAGTATCTTATAAAATAAGCTCGTAATAAAAAAAACTTTGAAAAAAAATGCAATGACGTGATACGAAGGAAAAGAAAACTCGAACCGGTTTGGTATGACACGAAGTTGATTGTTACGGAACTTGAGCGATTTAAGAAATGGCATAGAAGTATTGTAGAGCATCGCATTATCTTCCAGACATACTGCCAACGAATTCGACGAGAGGTCGAGTCTGAAAAACGCAAGCGGACGCATAGTATGTTTTGCTATCGGTCGTGGTTCATCACCTAACGTACTCATTCAACTGGTCCAGACCGGTCATTGCGGTCTTATGGAACGACTCGATCGAATTCCCCGACAATCCGAGGAAGTCGAGACGTGTCAAGAGACGAAATGCACCCGACGGAAGAAACTGTAGCTGGTTATGATGCAATGAAAGCCATCTGGAAAAACACGTCAAAGACAAGAACCATAATTATAACTGTTGGTTTGAGCTCGCGTCTTGGGTTAACCTAGCCCACGATCGGTGGTATCAGGCTTGCCCAGGAGAGTAAAAATACTTAATTCAATAGTAGGCAGGGCTATTCCTTGTAAAGGCTAAATATGCAGTCAGTCAACTCTGCGGTACTACGAATGGCGTCGAATGGATAACGCATCCTTTAGATTGACCAACGTCTGTTGCTTTTAGTATTACTATTATTAATATTATGATGTTGAGACAGACTTGAAACCCAGCCCAAATTTAAACCCACGATTACCGTTTCCCGGTACACCGTGACTTCTATTATATTACTATTAGAATAGAAAACAAACCCTTAGCAGCCATCGGCAACAATTACTCGACTGAGAGGTGGTTAAAATAAACGTTTCAATAAATATTTCAGGCTCTTCTTTCCTCTGTTTTGCATTCTCTCTTCATTTCTCCATGGTTGAAACGAGATAAGTAATTTTCACTTCGGTTTGAAGTTTTTAAGCCATTTTTCTATTTGTGAAACATTTTAGAACAATCAAATGGAACCGACCTTAGATTCGAGCATTGTTTCCAAGCGTTCGCATCAAACGAAGCGATATGGTTGTGTGACAAATCCCTGAAAGAACATATTTGGACTTCTCATAGATTTTAAATCGATCAAACGATCGACCGGTGAAGCAATCGATTTGGCCAGGGGCTAAAATCCTTTAATAATTTAACTTTTATCAAGGAAGAAAAAAGAAATGGATCATCTACAAATTGCCATTGGTAGCGAATCAAGCGGTTTTAACGTTGAATTCAGAACCCTCGTGAACAAACCTATGAACATATGTCACGAAATGCCACACAGCTTCACAGTTACCTTGGTTTTGCTGTAATTTTACTAGGTTTTTAAAAACACCAGATTTTTGCCGCCGTTCTCAATATCACTATCGTTAACGAAATCCTTACAGTTGACGAAGACCATCGAGACCAAAAAGCCATTTGTCGGAAATCGTGCGAATGTGGTTTCGGGACACATTCAACATCGTCAACGAATCACAACCAAAAAACACACCGTCATCAAATCTAAAAAAGAAAATCTGAAGAAAAAACGCCAAGGAACGTGAAAATCAGAGTCGAGACGAAAAATTTTGCGTTGACGTGTAGTAGACATAACTAAGGATAAGTGTAAAGTCTGAGTAAAAGAAACAGGAGAACAAAAAACAAACATCGTTGTTCAAATTTCCAAACAATTAAGGTGAAAGATGAAAAACATGAGTGGTCAGATGACGTCATGAATGCTGCAAATAAACAGCATTTCGGTGACGCGAAATGTATGAGGACAATCTAGTCACTTCTTATTTAGTGCCTATTCTTTTCATGACAGGATATGATGTGAAATATGACCGCAACGGTACTGAGACATTAACAAAACTGCGAACGACAGGCGTCTGCGGTGGCGATCGAACACAGCATTGGCATTTCCGAGGGCTAATGCGTTCACCGCCACACCATGCAGGTCTTTCTTTTCGTCTTCCTCTCAGCCGTATCTCAGCATTATTGTGTATGACAACACTTCAACAGAATTTATTTTTCTAGAACTATCCGATCAATAGAATGTGGTACAAATTTTTTATCTATAGTATTGCTGCATACTTGATCTTTTTTTGAAATATTATGACCTTGTAAAGCAAAGTACGGGAAGATGTGAACACCATAATACTAAATGGCTCCCGATGTAAGATATTTTCGCAGTCGAATATTCGACATTGTTCGTTAGAATGTGACAATGTACGTCATAGTGGCCGTGAGTTCTAAATCACCTTGAGATTTCGTTTCTGGCCAACGACAAACTGGCTAACGATTGTAAGTTGTGAAATGCTAACGACGACACGATTCGGATGAGATTCTTCGACAGATCCCTGCAAATAGCTTGTTCACTCACTGATTCACTCATTCATCCATCCATCCATCCAGTTATACATTCATTCACCCATTCATTTACTCGTCAATTAATCAAATCATTCATTCTTTTTATTAATTCATTAACTCCACTGAATTGTCAATCTACTGATCTATTGGCAAGCAATCTTTTGATTCACTGAGCTATGTACCTAGTGTATATTGATCCATAGATTCACGGACCCATTGACCCAGTCTTTCCTGTAAGCTATCGATTCGCTAACTAGTGGTTTAGTGGTTCATTGATTTATTTATTTAATGATTCACTGACCTACTGAGCAATTTATTCATTGACTCATTGATCTGATGATTTATTTATCCGCTGGTTCGTCGATTCACTGATCTATTGACCTATGATTTAATTATTTATTGAGTTTCTGGCTCATTGACCTATTGAGTTACCGAATTTCTCATCACTGATCCATTGATCCAGTGATTCACTAGGCACCTATTCACCCACTCTACTTAAACCTCCAAATAGGAAACGAGGACGAGAACTTACAGAGAAACCAATGAGTCCATTCCACGAAACGCATGACTTTCTATGGATCTGATCTTATTTCTCGACAATCGCAACGATTGTAAAGTGAACAACGAAGAAAATACACCAGCACGAAGTGAAGAGAGCAAATTCGAAGCAAGATCCCTAAAATCATCATATCTCGAACGAAAGGAAATCATTAAAAGAAATATGACAGAATGACTGACATGAGATGGAATGACTATAAGGCCACGATTTTAGAAACAAATAGGTTTTAAAAACATGGAGAAAACACGGGTGGAAACTTCGACAAAAATGATTTAAATGAAAGAAGTGTCCCGTCAAGGAACTATTTGTTAAAGTTCTCGAAGGTTTCGTTTCCATCAATGATGCTGAGATATTTGCAAAACTCCGAACAGCAGGTGCCTGCGGTGGGGAACGAACACGCTATTGTCCTTTTCAGGGGCTAACGCGTTCACCACCACACCATGCGGGTCTTTCGTTTCGCCTGTCTCTCAGCTAGTTCTGTCGCTATATTTCGAAATATACCCTGCCATTAAAAAGGGTAGACAGTAAATAAAACGGTTAAGGTTTCGTTTACCGTTTAACTAATGTCCTGCCGGCTCATTGTGATTGTGGAGGAAGACGAAAGAGAGAGGTGTGCTCGAGCTTCAAGCTCCAAAAAATTTATTTCATATTTTCATAGTGCTATTTAAACTGAAAGAAGGAGCAAAATTTTTACCAAACAAATTCATTCCGGAAATCGTCCCCATTCACGAAGAACCATAGTCGCAAAGAGTCAACTCTCGGTCTGATTAACAAAAATTGACGTGGAAACAATAAGGGAGCATGTGGAGCAGTGGTCGGAGGCGCCCTGCAACACATACGTGGAATCTATCCACGCGCTCATGGCCCACCATGCCTTCCGTCCCTCCGGGGTCGGCAAATTGGTACCAGACTCGTCTAGTAGGATAGCAGCATTGGCTCGATACATCGGTAGGCCACCGTGAGTTATTGTAAAGGCCAGATATGCATTCGATCAACTCCAAACCGTACTTGATGAAGTTGAATGCATGGTGCGTCCCTCAGGTATTGATCAACGCCGAGAGCTTCATCCTTCATTCTTTACCATGGAAACGGCGTGACACATGTTCCAACACTTCCATCATTCGGTTCATTGTATTGTATCCCTCATCTACGAAAACCTTCGACTTTGGTCTGGTTTTAGCTTACACATGAAAATTTCGTCTCTTCATGAATATTGCTGAACGATAGACGAATTTATTCATTTTGGATTTCAGGCACAGTTCTGCTAGAGGGCACCAAGGTCCTCGCAGCAAGCCATTTCCGCACATAGTGGATAGGATGAAACTTTTCCCAGACAAGTGTGGTGACAATTTCCCTGACCCCGGAGAAATAGATGGTTTACCTTCAGATCAAGGGAGAACCGGAAACCGTACATATACTGCACATTATTTCTAACCGCTGCAATGCAGGTATTCTATGTTTAATTCTATAAATAAAAAAGTCCGGAGCCTTGCAAATATCTCGGCACCATTGTGGGTATATTTCATGTCATAGTTCGCTATTACTGCAGCTTTCCATTGAGATACACGTAATTGCTGGACAATGATAACTGAGACAACGACAAAAGAAAGAAGAAATATCAGATCATTTGCTTTATTCACCACTGGAAAGAATTTTCTCAAGCTTACCCCTCAATTTTTCATCACTTACAATCGCTCAATGACGACCGTCACGTTGAGCTTCTCGCCAACCGTCGGCCATTCCTTTATGAAATTTCGCGAAAGGTCGACGTTTCGGCACTGTGCCAAAGTGATGACATCATCAACTGAGAGTGATGATATCAAATTAAGACGGCTAAAATAACAAACGGAGTGATACTCTTCATCTCTAATTCTGAGTTTATATTTGATTAGTAAGGAGCTAAATTCCATTAGTACAACTAGAGCGTAGACGTTTCGTTCCTTTATAAAGTGGGTTGTTTTAACGGGTAAAATAAAGTTTTCCATAACCAGTAATATTCGCGTACATATTTTTCTACATTTGCAGGATCTGCCGTAAGATTTATTGTGAATATCGCAGCGGTTCCTGAATTCGATTTGTTTCCGTCACATACACTGTCCACTGCGGTCTTCGAACACTTCGCGTCTTGGTTCGGCAGCTGCTTGACGATTTCGTCTTCTCTACAGATGTCATAGAATTATAGCCTAGTCGATTTTCCTTGCAATCTTGGTGATAACCTAGCTAGGAAGTTCCCATGTGGATTACAAAAGAGCGCTGAGGCGGGGGTTGAACCAGCGCCTTTGCTCCCATGTCGACGGTAATTCTAATCACTGCGCTATCCCCTCCACAAATATTACAAGTAGCACTCAATTTTTACTCACTGCCTGTCTTTCTTTATCGCAGGGTATTACATGAAATATAGCCACAATAATGCTGAGATATCTACAATACTTCAGATTACCGGTGTCCGCTGTGGGATTGAACACGCTATTAGCCCTTTTAGGAGCTAACGTTCTCACCAACGCTCATGCACGTTCTTCGTTTCGCTTTTCATTCAGGTAGTTTCCTATCTGCCGGTGCTATCAGCAATCTTCCGACATTGGGATAGATCTGGGGAGCACGGCATTGAACCCAGTTAAGCTGAGGCTGCAGTTGAAATCACAACGTTAAGCTTTTATTTACTGCCTACTACAATTTTTCACGGCAGGGTACTGAAATCGGAAAAAGAAACGGTTCAATGCCGATTTGTGCCCTGATTGCTGATAGCACTGTTAGATAGAAAACTAGTCGAGAGACAACTGAAACGAAGGACCCGCATGGTGTGGTGGCGAACACGTTAGTCCCAAGAAAGGGTAATAGCGGGTTCGATCCCCACCGCGGACACCTGCGAGCCGGAGTTTTGCAAATATCTCAGCATCACTGTGGTTATATTACTGGTAGTATTTTTGTCCCTTACGAACAAACAAGTTTACTAGAAAATTTCCATTTACTCGTATTAATCTGTGGATAATTCAGAATAATTATTAAGCTAAAGAAATCAGTCCAAAACGAGCAGCCGTCACAGCTGTAAGAAAAGCATTCTGCAGAAAAAATTTCAAAGGTTGGGAAACTATAAGGCAACGACAATGAAAAAAGTTCTGCTTCCGTTGGAGCTCTGAGGAATTTGCTCCACGGTTGCCATAACAGGCGGCATATATATACATATACATGTACACATGTATATATATATATATATATATATATATATATATGTATATATGTATGGGGCGGATAACGAAGTGGTAGTGATGCCGATCATCACAAGCACAGTGCTGGTTTCATCCCACCCCAGGCGCAGCAAGCCACTCTTCTTTACGGGGTCAAGAAATTGGTACCGAACTTGTTCTATAATGAATCACTTTCTGCAATCTAATTAGGAACACTTCAGTCCAGCTATTTCAGGACTGCTGGAAGAATCGACTGGGCCGTCATTCTGCGACATTTAAAATGAAATGAAAACCTTCAAGCAGCAGCCGAAAGCAGGCGTAAAATGTTGAAAGACCTTCGTGGATGACGGATGCGGGGAAACGAGTCGCATATGAGAAATGCTGGGATCCGCACAGTACACGTGAAGACAAATCGTGTATATATACAATATGCGTATATATAGATATTTGTACATATACATATATGTGTACAACACACACACACGAACACACACACACACACTGCCTGTCGCAGCATAACGAAGATCCGGTGTCAACCGACTACCGATTTTCTCCCATTTTCTCTTTCGAATCTTTCAAATTCACCTAAACTAGCATTGAGACTTTCTCAGCCTCTCCGCACGTCTTATCTCTACTACATCAAACCCACTTCCATGGTCAGAAGAAAGAGTCACTTTACTTCAACTACTTTTTTACGAAAAGTGTTAACGACATATGGCATTTCGGGTTCTGTGATACGAAATCTCGTCTCTTCTGATGTAGTGTTAGGATTCACTGTTAACCAACTATCGTTCTCTGCAAGCTCATTGAGAAAAATTTCAACAACCACGTCATTACTAAAATGTTTTCAGAAGATTCATTGGCTTCAGAAACTAGGGCTTATCACTACGTACATAAAAACTACGCATCTTATCGACAGACACTCTATTTACATTCTTTTTTATCGACAGATATCACTGCGGTTCGAGATATGCATGTTTCAAGTTAAGGACCAAGAAATGGTGCAGTTTTTAACATAATAATATTACAGTTAAAAACTTACAAATCCATCTTATGCAAGCGTAATCCGTCGAGGCCTTTAGGCACAGCACGAAGGTGGTTTCTTTTCAAGTTTCTAAAGAGAAAACATTTCCCATATCCAGAAAGAAAATTGAATAAGTTAAGGAAAATCTGCGAAACTTGCGAAAAATAAGAGTAACCATAATTGATGACAAGATACGGGTAAAGATTGTAGTAACAGTAAGGATTAAACTATAAGGGGTCATTATGGTGATATCAATAGTAAATGAAGAAGAAGAGGCTAAACCCACAATGTCCGTAGTCTTCTCAAATTTTTGAACGTATTATCGTCGATATTCCGCAAATTGTTTTTCGACAGATCACTTTAAAAAAATTTATTACAGAAATTTTTTCAAGGAAAAAAGCAGAAAAGAGTAATCGAAAAACTCGACAGAATTATTGAGTACAAAGGACACTTTCGGCCTTCATTACTCTTCTGTAGACTCAAATCATAGAAACTTTGAATTTTATCTCCTAATCTTTTTCCTTTGAAAAAAAAGGACGAAGAATTTGAACTTTTAAAATTTGATCTTTTTGTAATCACTGCTGCGATTTTATGAAAGTAAAACAATAAGTAGAGAACTACCAGTCGGAAGGACGACGCTAGGAGTACCCGTGTCACACAAGTGAGGAAAGAGACCCGAAGCTCCGGTCTATGTAAACGATGAAAAACCAAGGACACCATTCTACATGCCAAACCGTCGAAGATAATGTGGGCCGGACACGCAATACGCATCGACGATAATCGAGGGATAAGAAATATTAGCGAGTGGATTTTTAGGGATCTCAAAAGTACTGCAGATAAACCACCGAGGGGATGGCCAGATTTCTTCACAAAAATCCTAGAAAAAACGGTGCTAACAAGTCCCTAGAGCGAGCAGGATCCACTAGGATCTTGCTCTATAGCTCTTCAAGCCAACCCTCAACTCTCATCTCAACTCGTAGAACTCTCGCACGCTAGAGGAAATTGAGGGTTCACTGGCTCCCGCACGAGTTACTCAATGACCAATGGGACAACAAATGATATAGGTGATACAGTAATATTAACGATTATAACAACAATGAGTAAACAAAGAAAAGTGTCGTCAACTCACAGATGAACAAGGTTTTCCTCTAATCCGATGAAACTTGTTTGCGGCAGCTCATCGATGATATTTCCTCGTAAATCGCTGTAATTAACAACATGAAAACAAAAACAAAAGCTGAAAAATTTGAAGTTTGCAAATATTTGGCAGGCTATCGAGTTTCATTCCAATAAAATAACTCTATATGTTTCAATCAACATCTCAATTGATTATTCTGCTTTGATGGATTGGTTAGGAATCAATATTTTCAGCTCATTACTGATTCAACTTTAGAGTGTTTGCATTTTCAATAATGTGATATGTTGTAAATTTTAACCTCGAAGAAGTGCCGTGATATCCAAATATGTCAAGACGAGTGATACAAAAGAAAAATGTGAAGATAGAAGATGGGTCATACAAATAAACATAAAAATGAAGACAGTCCTTCTAAGCTTTTCAGTGCTATTTCCACCTTCCAAAAAGCAGTCGCGTTCAAAAGTCGAGAAATGCTATAGAAAACCCTATAGATAACTCTAGCGAGCACGGTAGTTGAGTTACAGTTTCTCAGTCACTTCACTAATTTTCTGGGCTGCGATAGAACTTTTTCGGTGAAGTGGTAATCTTAAAAACTAGTAGAATTTTAAATGCATCAACACAGCTCTTTCATTATAGTTGCATGAGGATCGAGAAAAAGAAAGGGAAACGGAAAAATCGTGTACTTCAACAGCAGAAACTGCCACGACCGACTTTCTATTAACCTCGGCATTGATCAAGTGATTTTCTTCGTATTTTTGTTGAGCAAACGCGAGGTGTTACTATTCTTTGTTCAATGTAATGACATTATACTTCCACGTGATTTCTGTGCGGTTGGTCTCTACGTGACATACTTAGTGGAAACCTCATAGAAAGCGGCTCTGAAGAAGGCGAAATCCGCCGAAACGTCAGCTTAATCGTGAACAATGAATAATAACACCTCGCGTTTGTTCAACAGCACAGTAACACCGAATAAACGCAAATAGGTTTCTCTAAGTTTTTCACTTAAGAAAAGTTCTAGAAGGGTGAAGTATGATAAACACTATGCGGATGTACTTCATTTCACTGAAAAGACTTGGATCATCGGCTTTGAGGAAGACGAAAACGTCGAAATGTTAATCGAATGAAAATTTGGTTACAACCTCTGGTCAGTTCATCAATGAAACAAAGCACATTGATCATTTACAACGAAGTTTAATGAAAGTCGGTTTATAACGATACTATGCTGATGGTTTCTTAGAGGAGCATAAATCTCATGTGTGATCATTAATCATGATTTCATATTCAACTCGATCAACAGAGGTGCTCCTATCGAGTTTGACCGTACACAACGTTCAGTAGCCTCAGCCTCAGCATGGTCACATTCGTTACATGGCGGAGCACGACTCATTTTCCAAAAGGCTACGATTTTACCAATCATTTTCTGATGAATACAAACAGTTAACCTTGGTACAGCCCATCCATGAGGTTAATATATACCATGGTTCGCGCTAACGACATTTGGAACAACTGTATTAGTGACGTATAGCTCCAACTCAATACCGTACTGCCTAATACAACTCAGTACTTAAATTTGAAGAAAATTCTGGATGGCGTTGCTCTAACTCATCGATCTGGATTGTCTAAAAAACCATCATGCCCATAAAAACTTCGAAAAAGAAAACTACCGAGAAAAACTCCAATAAAGCTGCTCACATTCCCATCAACATAAGAACTTCATAAATTTCTTAGAATCTTCAACGCTATGTAACAAACCATAGTGTTGTTTATTTACTATAAATATTTTAAAAACACCCACAGGAACGTAGTAGAAGTTGGGATGCCGGCTGGTACCAAACTCAGGCCTTTGTCAGAACAATCTGTGTGGCCATCAGCGTTGCACCGACATACCGTCGGACAGAGGCGTACTATGGCGAATACGGTAGCAAGTGTCAGAAATATAAGTATTCTCATCGATCTCTAGGCTACTGTAAATAAAGAATAATAATAATAAACTCGCGATAAACAAAACTATAACTGCGTTCACGATAAAAATATAGAAACAATCAAAAACGTTTCGCCAGGTCTTAAATCGTATAACGAAATTAAAACGTTGAACAAAAACTACAAATCATAATAATAAAAATAGAAGAATGCGTTAAGAAGACGAAGGCATGACTTCTAAAATATAACGCAGTACATTTTTCATATAAAAGATACTAGAGGGATAAATGGACAAGCGTAGCACTGGGGTTAGAGATGCTCTTCAACACAAAACGTCTTGGATCGATACCGCACCCTGCGCTAAACATGTCTCATCCTTCCGGAGTCGACAAATTGGCATCAGAGTTATGTAGAAGGATAGCAGCACAGATCTGATAAATCGGTTTGTCACCTCCAGTCATTGTGTGGGTCAGATATGCATATAATCATATTTATGGATGGAATCTAATGTATGGGACATCCATTAGGAAGTGATCAATGCCGAATGCTTTCCCTTTTCATTATTAATAGTAGCTCAAGATAACGTGATTTAGCTGTTTTGTCTTTGTGTCTGTTCACTTTAGAAAATCAATACAAGCATGTTCTTATCAGCAAAATAACTTAATATCACTGCCAAAAATCTAAAACTAAGATATTAATTTATGTCACTCGATGTTAGAAAAAGTAGTGGTGAGAATGACCAGTAAAAAGGATATTGAAAGCATACTACGTTAATTTTAAGATTTTGGATTCGTGATCCTTGTGAGGATCCTAAAGACCTTATCAGTTATACCACAACGATGAACTCATTCTGAATATCGAATAGAGACGCATAGTGCTCGGTACAACCATAAATGCTATCATCCATCGACTGCTAACCATTTCTACTCATTCGGGACATCAACACTCCAACGTTATTCATCGGCAGATTGAGCACACCGTCTGCTTGGGAAAGCGAACTTTACAGTTGTGCATCGGCTGAGAACGAATTCTACCTATCTCGGAAATCGAAACACTTGAACTCTATGCCTTCTCAACGTTTTGTTTTGTGTCAACTACTTAGATCATTTCACTGAAGAGCCAAAAATCCTCCTCTAAGTCACGATGACGTTAACTAACTATAGCAAAGGAAGCAAAACCTTCCAGCAAAGTTGTTTTACGACTTAAGAACGTCGAGTAGTTGACAAAGGAATAAATAAAGGCGTTGATCAATTCCTGAGAGATATGCCATGAATTCAACTTCATTAACAACCGTTTGGAGGTGACCGAATGTATATCTAGCCTTTGCAAAGACTCATGGTGGCCTAACGATGTATCGAGCCTGTGCTGCTATCCTCCCAGACAAGTCTGGTACCAATTTGCCGACCGCGGAGGAATGGAAAGCTTAGTGAACCATGGGCGAGGGAATCGATTCCACGTGTGCGTTGCAGAGCGCCTCCGATCACTGCGCCACACGCGCCCTTCGAGTTGATAGGGGCCAATAACGTGAAAATGGAAACAATGAAGATCTCGTATCGTTAGAGGAGTTGTCTGGGCGAGTAACCACGAAAACCACCAGCTGGCATGCATAACATGTGGTGGCCGTTCCCCTATAAGGACAGAACAAGCAGTTTATATATAATGTCGACGTTCATTATCAGTTGTATCGGACACTTCATTTGAATTTAGCGCGCAAATTCAACGGCTGTCCGATGGAAATAGATACAAGCAGCAAAGAAGTCATTGAAAGAGATCGTAGATCTACACAACCTTGCTCAACCACTATGATGTATAGCCTTAGGAAAGTTTTACTAAGTAGAGCGTACCGAGACACAAAGACATAGCTCACCAGGTAACATGTTCAGTGGAAGACTCATAGAAAGCAATGAGTGCGCAAAGAAGCCATTCTGTGTTCAATGTGATTGAAATCTTGGTATAGCATTCTCTTTGTTTGGTTATGGAGGTGCTTGGCTAGGTATATTGCAATAAACTCGACTTTCCTAGGCTCTGTGGAAGACGAAATCCGCCGAGACGTCAGCTTGTGCGTAAATAAAGAAATAAAATAATACCTCGTGTTTAGTAAACAAGAATATGAAGAATTACTTGATCCCCATTACCGATTTTCTTTTAACCTCGGCATTGATTGATAATTCGATGTTTTTCTTCAATAAGCAGACATGAGGTTGTTATTATAGGATTTATTAGGATACAATAGCTGACGTTTCGGCGGTTTCGCCTTCTTCAAAGCCTGGAAGGGTCAAATTGAGATGCGATCTACTCAGCCAAACACTTTCATAACCTCAGCAGATAAAACTTAACAAATAAATTCGTATTCGCATAAGATACAGCTTCATTTACACACCTACCGTTTATTTGTTGTAAGTATTTAAGTTAGTTGATGGATAGCAGCCGCACAGAGTAGTACATGGGCGAGGGCTGTGCCGGTGTCAGGTCATTGGATTAGCCTGAGGTATGGCGCCAGGTCNTGATGTTTTCGATTCGTGCGTGAGGATAGTGACTCCCACTTCAAAATCTTCTCCGTTCTGTTCCTACATCCTATGCGCTCCTAGTGGAGTGTTTGGTTTTAATTTAGATTTACCGACTAGGTGTTCTTTTATGCGGACGCAGAGCGGTCTACCCGTTTCGCCAACATATTCGTGCCCGCACGCTTTACAAGAGATCAGAAAGACTGTACCCGAACTCATGCAATCACCGTCTCTACCATTTGGGTAAATTATGCAGTTTTTTGTTGTACATAGACTGTCGTATAGGCGGTTGCGAACTAGCTGGCGTCTTAGAGTGTCCGGTGGTATTTCTATCGCTCTTACGGAATTCTCTAGACCGGCCCTTATTAAGCAGCGTTTTATAGCTGCACTTATTTCGTTTGAAATAAAGGCCAACAGGAACGGAGCCTTGCTTTCGCTAGAATTATCGCTCTGGGGCGTGGGTTTTCCTCTATGCCTATGCCGAAAAGCTACAGTTTCGTAACAATTTGAAATCTGAAATGACTATTTGGCGCGTCAATTTCGACGATTCTTCCCTCTCTACCTATGCACACGCTGGCACCAGTTCGAAACATATTTCTTATAAGCACCCTTCTAGTGTGTGAGGGAATAGAAGAGAGGTAATGAACCACTGTATTCTTACCGCTTGGCTTTCGATACCATTTTGCTTTGTAGCCGTTTTCGGATAGACTGATTTGAACGTTTAGAAATGGAAGTCAGTTTTCTTTTGGTTTCTCACAGGTGAATTTTATGTACTCTGACTGTTTGTTCAATAACTCAAAGCATTTGTCCATCTTCTCTTGTCCACCTCCACACAAGAGGAGCAGATGACAAAACAATCATCTATACACCTGCAGTAATGGCGTGAGATCGATTACTGGTGCTTCCACTTTAGATATAAAGGCAACGGCAAGGGTTGGTGCCAGTCGCTGCTCCACTGCCAACCCCCTAATTTGCGCGTAATATTTCCCGGACCATCTGAAGACCGACCAGTTTAAACAGACCTTTAGGAGCACCATAAGCTGCTGAATCGAAAAGCCATAGATGTTAGTTGCTCTTTCGTGTTGCTCAAGAAGCTCGCGGATGGCAAGCATTGCGGAGTCATTCGACAGGTTAGTGTAAAGGGCGGTAACGTCGAACGACTCTATAACGTACGCGCTTTTGGGAAGTACGTTGCACAGACGGTGCACGAACATTTGGGTGTTCGTGAGATGGGCTGGTGTGTGCTTAAGCAACTGGTTGAGGATTAGATTTATAAACCAAGCAACTGTTTCCGTAGGCCCGTCTACACAACTGATGATGGGTTTAGCTTCAAAGGCGGAAGGATCGGTAGACGCCAGATCATCAGCGGATATTAACTTATGGGTCTTGATAAGTAACTATAAGACATGTAAGACAGTAAGACAGACATAAGACAAGCACATGTCGGCTTTTTATTTCGTGTCTCAATTCTAGCGTTGCTTCGGAGTCGATCTTGGAGCTCGTGCAGGCTGCACGTGATCTTACGCAATGTTTCTTTAGAAATGGGTTGCGCTCGTAAGAAACTTGGACCCAATTCTAATAGCGAGCGCGCGTTATCAACTAGAGTCGTGCCTCCTAACACGGTGACCTTTAACTTTTCAGGCACGTTATCGACCACATTTCCAGTGCTAGCGCTTTCGTAAACGATTTTGTTTTGTTTAATTGAAGCTGGTTTTTGCGAATGATCTAGTAAATTCTGAACTTTCAGAAACAAACTGGAATTTTGAAGTGGGAGTCACTATCCTCACGCACGAATCGAAAACATCAGCGGAAAATGAACCGCAAGAAGGAGCGCCTTGTCATCACGCGCGACCTGGCGCCATACCTCAGGCTAATCCAATGACCTGACACCGGCACAGCCCTCGCCCATGTATTACTCTGTGCGGCTGCTATCCATCAACTAACTTAAATACTTACAACAAATAAACGGTAGGTGTGTAAATGAAGCTGTATC